CTCTGCAGCAATGGCCACTAATGGTGGCTCCTCTCATGCTTCTCCAACATACTGATTCAGTCCTTATTGTCTGCTGTCCTTTCCAGAAGCCTTCCTCTGTTACTATCATTCAGTAATTGCCTGTGAAGGTCATACCATTCATTTGTCTCACCTTGTTCAGACCCTCTTGCTCCAGTCTCGAGTTCAATAGCCAGCTCAGACTTCTTCTCTATCCCAACCCCTCCCCTTAATAACCTTGGGAACTTCAATATTCACCATCATGTCTCAGAAAATACCAGTATACATCAGCCTCAATTTGTAGGACCTCTATACCCACTCTCAACCACTCCATGGATAGTAGACCTCAGCATCATTTCGAAACGGGTCTGCCTTTGTGATCTTGATCTCCTTCTGCCTCACTCCTGTTTTTTTCATCTTCATCATGACTTCTAGCCTTCCTCCAGCTTTCCCAGTTTTCCCTGTCCATCTTCTGTTCAGGCCATACTCTCCCCTCTTTATGATTTTTGACCTCATAATTAAACATTTTGGCAATATGCTTCCCTCCTCCCTTAAATCCTTCCAATGTTCACACTCTACCAATATTCAACCTTGGGTCACCATACTTCTCTGACTGACTCTAAAACTGAATATTGTTAGAGGAAAACATTACATGGTCCAGTTTAGGTCCATTACAAATCCATGTTTTCTATTGTATGACAAGCCTTTTATTCTCCCAACTTACTGTAATTCTTCCTGCAGCAATTCATTCAATGCCCTCCACAAATCCTACAAGCCACCTCTAATCTGCTCTCTCTCAGCAGCTGACCCTCTTACTTTACTAGGAAAATCAGGCTGTTGGGATCTCCCTCCACTCCCCTAGTCCAAACTCAAAACACCTTTATGCAGTTCTTTCCTCATTTTTTGCAGGATGAAGTAGATGGTCTCTTTGCCAAGAGGATGCAGTAGATGTTCTCATTAGGCAAGGCTAATGTGTAACCTGAGCAGACTGGCACTAGGAATAACCAGTGCTCTTCTGGGAGCTTGCCCCGTTGCTCATCCCCTCCCTTCACGTCCCCCCCTTGCAGTCTCTATAGTCATCTTCCCTGCTGCCTATAAACAAACTCAGGTGTCCATTTCCTCCCCACTAAAGAAGCTTCACTGAATCTTGTCATTTCTCAAGCTATTACCTTAAGTCTCTCATCCTTTTCAAGGCCAAACCCTTACGAAGAATTATTGGTATGTGCTGTTTCCACTTCCTCCCCGCCAACGTTCACTTCTCAACTGTCATCTGGCTCTGACCCTACTAGTCTTTAAACTTTTTTCTTAAAGGTTACCACATACTTTCAAACTGCTAACACAGATAACTTTTTTTTTTTCTTGGTAACGTTTCTTCACCGTTCGATGCTCCTCAATACTCTCTTCCCTTGGCTTTCGGAATATTGCTCTCCACTGAATCTACTACATGTCTGACCACTCCCCGGTCTCCTGTCCCCCAAGGCTCTCGTATCTTTTCCTTTTGGTGATTCCAACAGTTCTCATTGGTTCAGTTGTTAATTCCCAGATCCATAAATGAAGCCTAAATCTCTTTCCTACATCCCGGTCCCACGTCTCCAGTTTCCTCCTGGATGTCCCATAAACATTTCAAATTCAACAAGTCCACAAGTGCCTATGAGTTCCCTTCCAGCTCTAACACTATTAATCTGTGGCCAACTAATCCTGTTCCCCCAATTCACATTTCTCTATTCCTGTCGAGGCCACCCCCATCCTTGCTGAATTCACATTTCAGAATCTGGGGCCAGGGACAACCTCAAGTTAAATGCCTTTACTTAAAAGGTAAAAATGGCTTACCTAGGGACAGCTAGGTGGCGCAGTGGATAGAGCACTGGCCCTGAAGTCAGGAAGACCGAGTTCAAATCTGGCCTCAGACCAAACACTTGACACGTACTAGCTGTGTGACCCTGGGCAAGTCACTTAACCCCAATTGTCTAAAAATAAAATTAAAAAAAAAAGGCTTGCCCAAGTTTATCTAGCTCGTTAGTGGCAGTACTGAGACTGGAACTCGGGTCTCCTGACTTCTGGGTACAGTATTCTTTCTTTGCTCTCCGTCCATTTTAATTATGCTTCCTGTCCCTGGTTTAATCAGCTCTGATGTTACCGGCTCTTACACAATGACACCTGAAAATTTCTTTATCCATTTAATTATATATAAGGACATTTAAATAAGCAAGATAGGGGCTTGCACTCCAATGGGGGCGTCTCCATTGTAGTTTCATTTCATAGTTCAGATTTACAGAAACCAGACAACCACCTTGGGTGGTAGTGCAAATATTATTTCTTCTTATAGATGAGAATGAGTCTGACTTGCCTAGGGTCACACAGCAAATAAGCTTTAGACCTGTGATCTGAAGCCAGGTCTTCTGTATCTCAAGTCCAATGCTCCTTCTACTACACGAACAGGAGGCTGACCTCCTAAGCTGCAAATCTCTATCCTTTGGGGAAGGCGATATCCATGGGAGCCAAAGAATCTCGCTTTGCTTGAATTGGGCTCGAGGCTGGCTCATGAAACATAGGCTTAAACATAGCTTGTTCCCACACAATGCAACAAGAATAGAACTAGGAGCTACAAAGCTCAACCCACACACTACCAAGAAACAATGTGGGTCAGCCCCTCCTCTTGGCTAGGCAGGAGGGTCTGGTGAATAGCAGTTCTTCACCCCCAACCCTATATACATCCTGCTCGGACTCCATGAATCCTACTATTAAGCTTTTCTCTGTCAAAGTTCCCTTTTAACAAAGAGAGCAGCGAAGAGGACTTTTTATGCTGGTGGTGAGCTCTGTCAGAATTCTGTCTTTTGGAGGCAGCATGCTCTGCTAAGACACAGTGTGGAATGGAAGGTAAAGACAAAGCTGATTATGATGGTAGAAGATTGGGCCCCATTTGCTGACAGTTCTAGAAACAGTCTATTGTATATAAGTGCCTTACAAAAGCATAATGTGTCTCAGCACATCAATATGGCCTAAATACAACACAATTTAAAGTACCAGCGCTAAGAAAAAGATGGATATTGAATGCTGAGAAAGGCAGAGGGGAAGAAAGAAAGGGAACTAGGGCTGAGATGGGGTTAATAAAAGGGAACTTGCCCCAAAAGGAGGAACTGGACTGGGGGATGGGCCTCAGACAGAGAATAGAGTACTTAAGTGTGACCAGGCATCCTTAATTTCAGTGTAATTTTAAACCTTGAAATATACCAAGATGGAAAACAACTAGCTCCCTTAATCATTACCAGCTTCTCTTCCTCACTCCATAGATAGTCCTGACATCCAAGTCTCAGGTCCTTACCTTCAAACTTTTGTAGATATCCACGTTGCATCTTGGAAAAAAAAAAATACTGGAAACAAGGGAAAATGCATGTGGGTGGCAGGTAGGGTCTTTATACAAAATCAAATATTTACTAAATGCATAATGGAAGGGGAGGTTCTATGTATGTGGGGCATATGATTACAGAGAATTAAAGGTGACCACATAGTCTCTTATCTCCAAAAGAATACATTTTAAAAAGTGATGCTACCTCATGGAAAAAAAAATGAGAAGGGAAAGTCTGTATTTAGGACTTTCAGCTTTCCCTTTTACCTAAACTCCTGGTGGGATCTGCTTCTCTTTTCAGGTGCCCATTGCTCTAATATTCCCTACATATGTCCTACTAGCAGAACCAGCTTTTGTAGTTAGGGTCTCAAATGATGCCTCAAAGAAATCTCCAAAATGGGCATGGTCTTAAGCTATGACACTTTAGGTGACTGATTAAAGGAGGGTCAGAAGCAGAGCTAGCTGATTGCTGTATAACTCATGGGAAGGGAAGGTGATCTGCCAGCGCTGGCATAACTGTGGCCTAATGAACCGTGCATTACAGAGAAAGGTAAGAGAAATGCAAAGTTAGATGCTGTTTCTTTTTTTTTGGCGAGGCTATCGGCATTAAGCCACTTGCCTAGGGTCACACAGCTAGTTAGTGTCTGAGGCCGGATTTGAACTCAGGTCCTCCTGACTCCAGCACCGGTGCCCTATTCACTGCATCACCTAGCTACCCCACGTTTTTTCTTGTCTCGAAGAATAAATGAACATAGTGAGCCTGGCTTGACAAGGGGGGCGAACAAGAAGGCAGTGAAGACAAAAGATGTTGCTCCAAACCCCCTCCTTTGAAAGGAAACATGGTATGATGGAAAGAGACTTAGAGTCAAGGGAGACCTGGGTTCAAAATCCCTAGTCCGATACAGAAGCAAGTCATTTATTTATTTTTTGAGTCATGATTCAAAATAGGGCAAATAAAATTAAAGTAGGGATAATAAATGAGTATATTAGCAGTACTTGTCTCATAAATGGTCTGAGGAAAGGGCTTAAATCACTTGCTCGGTCATTTTTCAGCGTTCGACTCTTCATGACCCCATTTGGGGTTCTCCGGGCAAAGACACTAGAGTGGTTTGCCATTTCCTTCTCCAGCTCATTTTACAGCTGAGGAAACTGAGGCAAACAGGGTGAAGTGACTTACAGGACCACCCAGCTAATGTCTGAGGCCAGATTTGAACTCAGGAAGATGAGTCTTCCTGACTCCAGGCCACCTAACTGCCCCGTTACAACCCTAGAGAAATATAAACTACTGTCAATTCCTCATACAAATGGGAAATTATTCTACAGACCTAGTCTTTGGCACCTAAGTCTCCCCAGCCTGGGGGTGAGAATGGTCGATCCTACAGGTTCAAAGTACATCCTCCAAAATGGTTCAGTTAAATTAATGGATGACAAGTCTATAATGGGTTATTAGACAAGGCTATATTCACAATCCCTGGGGGTTTATCAAAGAAGACAATGCCCTTCCTTCCACAACGTATTTCTGAATGTCACTCAGAAAATACTAGACTAGATTGGAAATGGTTTTAACCAATATGTCAAAGGTTGTAAGAATAAAAGAAAGCATCGCCATAATCCCCGAGTTGGTAGAAAAAAAGGAAAGGATGCCACACACACCTCATGGATTCATTGAAAATTTTAATTTATGTTGGCAACAAAACTAACAAGTAGCTGGAGAGGTCAAGTCCTAGGTTAAACCCAGAAACCATGCATGGCCTTTGGGGAAAGCACCAAGGCAGGTGGCCAGTGGCTCTGAGAAGGCTTACTATTGGCAGGGAAAGGTTGGGAACCCAGGTGACCTGTAGGAAGACAACATAGGCTCTAAGGTTGAAGTGCCAGGACCCTGAGCCTTATTAGGTGTTTGTACCAGGCCTAGATGCCCCTGCTGTGGCAGGATGGCAGAAAGGGGATGGGTTAAAAAATAAGGATTAAAAAACAAACCAACCCTCTGTTCAGTTCGAAGAGAGGGTTTGAGAGGGAGAGACTGGGTTCCTCAATTTTTCCCTTTCTAGGGAAGATGCTGTCCCAAGGGAAAGAAAGGTAGGGGAAGGGGCTGGAAAGGGAGGGAATACAGCTCCCTTGATTAGCCCTTTGCCTGGGCACCAAAAACCTAGGAATCAGGCTTCAGCCTTCAAGGCCCAAAACATCCTTCCCCTCCAAACTCTTTCCCACTCACTCTCAGACTCGGGCAGATGGGAACTGAGCCTCAGACACTGTCAGAAGCTTGGCTGCTTTTGACCCCTAGATACTGGCATCCACTTGTACCCTCTGGCCCCGGAGCAGGAAAGGGCAGGGTGCCCAGCCACAACCACCTCTCCTAACAGAAAGCAGTCAGCTCTCTCATCAGAACTGTCCTTCCTTTCCACACAATCTGTATTCAGGAGGGCATGAAAGCCCTAACCCTTAGGAATGGCCCCACCCCTCAAGTCTTCAGGGATCTGGGGAACAAACACAGGCTCCAGAGGATCAGAATTCCCAATCATCCATCTCCAGCTCATCCAAGCTTGATACTAGGCCAAAGATGCCACTGGGGTCCTGGGGTTGGCTGCCTTCAAAGTTGGTGATGGGGGTGACGGGGCGGAGTAATTCAGGCAGGGCCTCTGAGGCACGTCGCTTGATCTGGAGAAAGAAAAACATTTGGGTACTGTCTTCTGTTCCTATATTTCCAAAATGCCTTAGAGCAGGAAGCAAGGAAGAAACTCAAGAAAACAGTAGTTTTTATGTGGGAGCTATGGAAAATGAAAACTCTTTTAAATTTAAAGATTTAAATGCTTATTGTTGAATTAATGAGGCAACTTCTCCTACCCCCAAGGAAGATGGAGATAATACCTGAGGATGCTTCAATTAAAAGGGTGGTAGGTGATGTCAAAACTCTGGTCAAGAGAAAATAAGGGGGGCAGCTAGGTAATGCAGTGGACAGAGCGCTGGCCCTGAAGTCAGGAGGACCTGAGTTCAAATCCGGCCTCAGACCAAACAACTGACACTTACTAGCTGTGTGACTCTGGGCAAGTCACTTAACCCCAACTGCCTAAAAAGAAAAAAAAACTGCAAAAAAAAAAAAAAAAAAAGAAGGAACTAAGGAAAGAGGCTACAGTACCTGCTTGAAAAAAGAATGGTTCAGTAGGGTGCTGGCACTTGGCCTATAGAGAGAAGAAAAAAGCTAGTTACCTTGGCTGTCCCGGATACTGAACCATCCAGAACTTTATCCAGACATCTTCAAGAGTAGTCATCCTGAGAGACTGGGGGGAAACAGGCTGCTCACACAGCCCTGCCACTCACACCTCTTCCCCCTCCCCCCCATACCTCAAGCACAATACAAATCACTAGCCTTCTCAGGTCCACAGCGGCAAGGAGAGATGGCAACTAAAGCTTTCATATTTTTGCTTTTCAGCATGCCCACTGTCCTTCTCTCAATCCCCACTGACTCCTGATCTTTTTTTTTTTTTTTAGGAATAAAGCACTTTAACAGAGAACGTATAAACTTCCAACTTACCACAACTCCCAAACTGGGAGTTGAAGTCCAGGGTCTCCTGTTCTTTAAAGAGCAATCCCCCTAAACTCCCTACTTAGCTCCAAGCTTAACAGGCACTACCTGAGGTCAGGACTTCGTTGTAGACATTGCTCCACAAAGTGGTGGAAGTGTGGCGAGAAAGTTCGATGGTAAGGGTGTGGAGGGGAGTCCCCATTGGAGTTCCGGGTCGTGCTGGCAGCCAGACTCTCATTCAGGCCAGAGTTGGCACCTGAACGTGAGGTATTCATGGTCAGCTCCTCAGCAGGGATGGTGGTAGTATCCAGCAGGCAGGGTACTGTCCCATTTAGCTTTTCCAGAAGCATCTGTGAAAGGCCTGTTTGATTAGTTAATTGACAATGTGTTACGTGATTTTCTGCCCCACCAACATTAAAACTAGGACTCTTCAGCAGCTCCTGGAAATTGAGCTTCAGGGTCTCCCCCCCCCCTCAAAATGCCTTAATGCACAAATAGGAACCCTTAGGAGTAAGGGAAGGGATGGGGAAGGTGCAACAAGTTTAACTTGTTTAAAACAATGCTGCCCACTGGGGCTAGGTGAATGGGTTACCTTAAGGAACAGCTGGAAAGGAGGATTATATCTTCTGTTTTCCACAGCAAGAAAGAGCTAGACCTTTATCCCATATATAAAGGATAAAGAACCTCTAGCAACAGAACTCTCCCCCCATAGCTGGGACAGCAACAATTTCATTTCTACCCATAATAGAATTCTTTCCTCCCCAGCTCCCAAAGTTCTCTAGGCAATTTCCAAAAGGTCCTGTTCACAGCTTCTTGTAGTGCTCCTTCTTGAGCCACTTCTGAGGCAGGGGCAGTAGAGAAAGCAAGGTCAGGGGCAGGCCAGGGATGGAGTAGCCAAGCAATCTAGGCTCACCTGGGTAGCAGGCATGTCCTTAAAGGGGACGTGGCCATTGGCCAGCTCACAGGCTGTGATTCCCACACTGTAGATGTCAGATTTGGCATCATAACCCTGAAGATTCTAAGTCAGGAGAGAACAGCCACAGGTCACTCCATCTGGAGCCTTGGTCTCTGCTCTTAGGGATGGGGATAAGGACCAGGGAAAGGAAAAGAATGCTAATCTCAAAAACAGCACCAGCTACTGAAGCACTGCTTGCCCACATTATCGGAGAGAGGGTTAACTGTTGATGAGCTGCTGCATTATTTTAAAAGGAGTAGATGCTTGCTAATGGCTAAATGTAGAAAGAAGTACAGGGCTTCTAAACTCCTGCTTGATCCAAATGGCAGCAAACAATTCCCATCTCATGAGAATTACCAAATGCTAACTCTTCCCCTAAAGCAGATCATGCATTTTTGCTAACCTCATCGAGCAGACCTGTGTAACCACAGGACAATGGAGACAAAGGCCAGTAAGGAAAGAAGTCATTACGTCTAACTTTAGGACTACCAGAAAAGAAAAGCCTAAGTCTCCCTGTAACATGTGGAAAATAGCCAATTAGTCATTGAGATTTTTTCCCTAATATGAAAGTTAGTTTGTCCAAGGATGTTCTTTCCTTTTTTCCAATCTCAATCCAGGCTGAAAGCTTTACAGGCTCCCTTGGGAATCTAAAGGTAGAATCCCCAGAGCCCAGTGTCCATACCTGCTGCAGAACCTCAGGACTGAGCCACGGCAGGACCTTGACGCTGTACTTGGGGAAGTCATGGACAACTCGCTGCCGCTGACCGTGATTGATCATGCTGAGGCTGCTTCGAAGGCCTGACAGGTAGACCTTGCCATCGGCTGAGATCAGGATGTGGCTGGCTTTAACACTCCTACAGGAGGTGTCATGTGGTCACATAGACAGTGGAATTGCCGGGACACTTTCCTTACAAACCCATTAGCCTGGATGTTGGTGCAATTTAGCTCCCTCCCCCAGGAAGAAAGGAAGGCAGGCCTCACACAGCACCAGACTCAGTGCACACACAAGTCCTAGAATCCATTTACCAAGAAGTATAACAGATAGTAGGGAGCCCAACCAAATGATCACCACAAATAATGCACAGAACTAAGCTGTCTGGAAAAGGAAAAGTATTTCTTTTGTCAACCTGAAGTCATAATCCCTCAGACAAGAAGGTTATCATTTCTTTACAGATGGGAAAACTAGATTGTATAGAGGGACGGTGATTTGCCTACTGACTTTTACACGATTTTCAGATGACACAAAGCTAGGAGGGATGACCAGATGGAAGAGCTGGGATTCAAAAATATGCCGACAGTCCACAACACCAGGATCAATCTAATAATATGAAACTTAACAGGAATAAAGTATATTTGAGCTCAACAGACACACTTCACAAGATGCCATCTCTAATAATTAACTACCTGTGACTTTGGTTAAGTCATTTAACCTTCAGGCGCTTCTCCATCTATAAAGTGAGATTAGGCAAAAAGTCCTCTCAGGTTCCTTTGAGCTCAGGATTTCAAGTACAAGACCAGGGAAATATGCCCGGCCAAACAGAAATTTGTCCGAAAAAGATCTGGGGGTTTGAATGGCCTTCGTGTTCAATACAATAGCCAAGGAAGTGAATGTGACCTTGGGCCGCATTAAGGAAGGTATCATGGCCAGAAGGAAGGTGTTTAGTTCCACATTTAGTACCTCATTTAGTCATACCACATCAGGAATATTGTGTTTGGTGTTAGAGGCTACATTTTAGGGAAGATATTGATAAGCTAGAGAATGTCTAGAGAAGGGAAAATGAGTTGGGGATGGGGCCTAAATTCCTGTCATGTAAGGAATGGCTGAAGGAACTATAGCTGGAAAAGAAAAGTCTTAGGGTAACATGGCAGCTGTCATGTGTATGAAGGTCATCACATAAAGAAGAAGGATGTTGCCAAAAGGCAAATGTAGGCATGGTATAAGGGATTTCCTAACCTATCAAGTCAGAGGCAAGGTCAGAGGCTAGGCATTCAGGAGTTCTGATTCCTAGTTCCACTGACTCTAGTTTCTAGCTAATCCCAAGACCTTATGGCTTTTATCCTAGGAACAGAGACATCCTTATGAAAGCAGAAAACTCCCCAGGCCTAGCTCTCTCTGTACCTGTGTACATAGCCCATATGATGGATGTAGTCTAGTGCCTTTAGCACCCCTTGCAAGATGTACGCAATGGCCAACTCATTCATGCCATCCATGAACTGTGTACAAATGAGATCCTTTGCTGAACCTGAAGAAAGAAATAGATATAGGAGGTGGGCAATAGGTAAATGAGTGAATATCGATTTATAGACAAAAGGATTCTTAAGGATTACTAGCAACCATAATCCCATATAAGAGATTTCTTTCCACTGACCATATGCCATGAAGGAAGTGACAACCCACAGCTCATTGTCAGCAATGAAGGTAGCTCGATATGGCACGATGTTGGGGTGGTTGAAGAGCTTAGAGACATGAAGTTCTCCCTGAAAAGAACGGTAGAGTTAGAATGAGGGCCAAGAAAAACCAAGAAAGTAGTTCTCAACATAAGAGGAAGTCTTGATGGGCGCTAGCTCTAAAAGGAACTTGGAGAGTTCCCTTCAAAACATTAGGGAATCCCTGCTCCACTCCTACAAGTGACTTCCTTGACACTTTAGAAATGCAGCATTACCTTGTTTTAGTCCTAGGTACATATCAGGTGATTCAAAAGTCTGCTCAAGTGTGACTCAGCTGGTAAAATGGAGGGACCTCAGCAAACTAACCCCGAGTGTACTAACAAAAAGGAAACTGTTTTAACAAAGAAAAGAGGCTCTGCAAGTTAACCAGCTTTTTAGTTCGGAAGCTTAAAGTCTGGAGCAGCCTCATGGTCGTTCTATCCAAGGTCCAATGCAGCCACGATGGCAAGCTCTAATTTGTAACTCCAAACAGTGGGGCACAGAAACTTGTTTAGAGCAGGAGCTCTTAACCTGGGGTTTCACAGACCCCCTAAAAGATTTGTTGATAAATTTCAGGGGGTGCCATAAACTTGAGAAAAAAAATTAAACCATTATTTTCCACTAACTTCTGGTTTCTTTTGTTACAGGCATTTTATTTTTTGCATTTAAAAGCATTATTCTGGGGAGTCCATGGCACAAAAAAAAATGTTAAGAGCCCCTGCACTAAAGTAATAAAATATATGTACTTTCTTTTAAAAATAGATTAAGCATGTGGAGGTATGGTAGGGAGGAATTAAAGAAGGAAAAACAGAGATTGGACATTAGAAAAAAAATTTCCTCAGCAAACTTTCTCAAACTGTGAGGTCCCTTCCTCAAAAGCATCATGTAAGTCTTATCACCGTGACATTCAAAATCAGACTGAATTAAGTGCTAAAAAGACTCCAGGGATCTGTCATGGTCTATGGAATAGGGGCTACCAGAAACCAGAGCCCGTACCTGCCGTGCTATCTAGAACAAAGAACCATACTGGGTCCTGCTTCTGCTTCCTCTTCCATTCTAAGACACACCAATTGGTGATGAGTTAGTAATCTAGGGAGCTACCAAAGGCCCCCTCTGGTGGATGCTAACTTAGATAGAATACAGGAAAGGGATGAACTGAACTTTAAAAATGAGTATATTTAAGCCAGATTATGTTCCCACTACGATCCACTAAAACAGTGGGGAGTCAAACTCAAATAGAAACAGAGGCCATTAAGCCATATATAAATATCCCTACAGAATGCATAATGACTTAGTTTTTAAATGAAATATTATCTATGTTTTATTCATTTTTTTCTTATTTTGTTAAATATTTTCCAATTACATTTTAATCTGGTTTGGGCCATATTCCAGAATTTGTGGACTGCATTTCTGAAATTTCTGCATCACAACAAAGCAACTGAACAGAAGGAGAGTTCATTCAGCTGGTTTCATGCTAATTTGCTATGTAAATACCACTTTCCCTCTTAGGGTCTTTATCAGGTTAATGAGAAGGTAAACACTTGCTTAAATCATTTGGTTAATTTATTATAAACAGGAAAGAACACAAAGAACTACCTCCAACATAAAATAGACTAATATATTTGGGACAAAAGGAACTCCTAGCACTTCGCACCTTCCGTACTGATCAGACTCAGAAGAGAGCAGAAGTCATAGGAGGTGCCTAGGGAGTCTTAGCTGCACAAAATCAACAGCAGTTGGGAAGCTTTCCCAGGGCACAAAATGTCCCAGATTTACGGGTGATGGCTACTGTAGCCACCCAATAGTCTAGTGCTTTTCCAGTCTACCTTAATTTCTGTCACCCCTTCTCAGAGGGCTATTTTCTGGAGGCTTACTGGGACTAAGAGAATGTTCTCAAAGTGCTCTAGCTTTAAGGAACCTTAAAGAGCATCTCCCTTGTTCTTAAGCAAGGTTCTATTACATCATCTCTCCCTCTTAGAATCGCTGGTTGCCTTTGAGATTCAGTTCTAGAATCAAATTCTGCATGAAGCCTCTCTCCTGATCTCCAAAGCTGCTAGTCTTCCTACCCTTCTCCGCACCCATGTTATGCATTTCTGGGGTATGCAGCTGTATGTCTACATTTTCACTGATAGAAGTAAGTTCTTTGAGAGCAAGAACTGTTTCACTTTTGTCTTTCTATCCCTAGCTTGTAGTAAAGTGTCTGACACACAGTAGGTATCTAATAAATGCCTGCTTGATTACCTGTAAGAATGTCACCATCTCATTGGTACAGGCCTCTAGGTTAATCCTCCGTATTGTGACATGCTCTCCTGTTGGTTTGTACCTGGCTAAGTTCACTGTCATCAACTCCTCAAACCCTTTGCCTACAGGAAAAGCAGAAATCCCATGAACAGAGTCAAGAGTAACAGAAGTTTCCATCATTTTTATAGAAAGACAAAGGCACCTAAGACACTAAACAATATGCTTCATGGAAGGGTACAGGACAAGATAAAAATTTCACTTTCCTAAAGGTCTCATGATGCATATAAAGTAGTTTGAAGGGGGAGGCCACAAGAATACTTGTATATAGTGGTACATAATTTCAGTGCATACTCATTAAACATTTGATTAGCCATCAATAACCAACTCTGCACCATGGACTCTGACAGCTGGCCAACTGTCCCTGGAGCATACTCCAAACTGCAGGTGCTAAAATAGGTACAACAGTTGCTTGAAACATGACGCCTCTTTGTCCTGGAAAAAAGGGAGACACCTTTGGACTCTTAAGTACCATTACCTATGATTGTGAGCAGTTCATAACACCTGCCCTCTGGCAGAAAACTGCTCATGGTGTCCTGTTTAGGGGAGGATGCTATCGACTCTGAGCTTGATTCATTGGTCTAGAGAAGAAAGAGAAAAAAAAAGTCAAAACAGAGAATAGGGAAAGGTATGTAGTGGGGATGTGGTAATTAAAACCAATGATGAGAAAGTGGTATGTAAGCCAATGTGGTAAACCTGACACAAGGATGAAGGAAGAATGTTCTACTGTTGGGGTCATATGAAAGGAGAGAGCAACTGCTGACTTGATAACATATAAATTATCATATTAACTTAACATATTAACTGGCACTGATATCAGAGCAAATGACTCAGAGATAATTACTCCTCCCTCTGACCCCAAGGAGCTTCCAGTGATGGCTGATGAGAACCAGTTTCATGAGATATTTAATTTGGTTTATTTGACCTTCGAAAAAACTCATCATCCCTTCATGACTCTGTCAATCCTATCTATAGGAGGGGTCTCCCAAGAAGGACACATTTATATGGGAAGCTGAGCCTTCTTCCTGCATAGTAATCTTGTTTTTCAGGTCCTTCACTAGTCCCTACACAATCCCAAATGGTAGACTGTCTCTCTCAACCCAGAGGGTATATATTTAGAATTCTCTGAACATTTCCAAGTAAGAGAGCAACTGCAGCAGCAACTCAAGTAAGGGGAAGAAAGCAATAATTTGTTCTGCCACAATTCCCTGCAGCAGAAGCGATCTGTTCCCTGCTCATGCTCAAACTCAGCTGATTAGAATGTGAGAATCACACATAAAGTAGCAAGGACCTTAAGATCCTAAAATAAAGTTGCCCAGGAATGCCTGCATGTGGAAAACGTAGGCAGGTGGGAAGAAGTGTAAACAGGTGGGAGGAATCCAGCACACTGGGTCTGATTTTCTTCTCCAAAGCCTTTATCTGTTAATATGGCTTGCATAATTGCTTAAACTCTGAAAATCTGGAGGATAAAAGGGTTGCCTTCATCCCTTCCTCAGGGATGTCACTTAATTAAAACAGAAAGCACTACAAGCAGGGATAATTTCAACTCTTCTACTTCACATTCTCCCTCACATATACTATCAATCATCACCACCACCACCACCACCTACTACTACTACTGCTACTACCAGTAAATACTACTACTACTCTCCCCCTCCCAGGATCATAGAAGTAGGGCTAGAAGGGACCTTAGAGGTCATCTAGCCCAATCATTTCATTTTACACATGAGGAAACTGAGGCCCAGGGAGGTTAAGTGACTTGCCCAAGGTAGTAAGAGGCAGAATGGGAATTTGAAATCTGAACTCCAAGTTCAGTGCTTTTCCCACTGCACCTCTGATGAATTTATCATCTCAATGGGGGTACTCTCTCCAGCCACCAAGATTGCAACTGGGGGCAGCTAGGTGGCGCAATGGATAGAGCACTGGCCCTGGAGTCAGGAGGACCCGAGTTCAAATCCGGCCTTAGACACATAACACTCACTAGCTGTGTGACTCTGGGCAAGTCACTTAACCCCAACTGCCTCACCAAAAAGAAAAAAAAAAAAAGAAAAAAAAAGACTGCAACTGATCCTGTTTGATTCTTGTCTACATCCTCCCATAGATGTTTCATAGTGGGTCCACCCAACGTGCTGGGGGTGGAGAGGTTGACTTCTTTTGGATCTCATGACATTATATGGGAACCAATGAAGACCATGGGTTGTCCATTGGTTAACCTCTGCTCTTCCTACATAACTAGTCCATTTCCCTTTATAGTCACACATTTCTGATTATATTTTATTTTATTTTTTTTGGTTAGGCAATGGGGTTAAGTGACTTGTCCAGGGTCACACAGCTAATAAGTGTTATGTGTCTGAGGCTTGAACTCAGGTCCTCCTGAATCCAGAGCCGGTGCTCTATCCACCGTGCCACCTAGCTGCCCCCCTCTGATTATATTTTAAATGCCGCCATCCTGCACAATTCTTTGATGGTAAAATACTAATACCTAATTATGCCTATGTCATATCTTTCCATTATCCTTTGTGATCCCTAACTTTAATTTTACAAATTGTGGTATTCCATGATTTGGAGTCATATAGTATCATCAGGAGAAGAGATGGACCCTTATTTCAAAGAGAAGATTGGGGTCATTAAAAGCACTGCATATTTTCTCAAATCTCCTGTCCAATTCTGGACTCAGTTCACTATCTGCAGTGTCTGTCCAAGATATATGTAATGATAAACTAGTTCAATTGACTATCCATCCAACCATATATTTCAGTCAGGACCTAGGCATTTTCCATCCACTTGGTTTATCCCGTGTGGATAGTTAGGCTGAACTCTGAGTGATTAAGACCCTCACTTAGGAAGCTGTATAATGTTCTAGGTCTTGATGCAATCAGTACAATGTTATATGCAAACAAGATCATTTGGAGGACCTCATCATCTATATGGAATCCCTCTTCCATTTGGACTTATACTGGGCATACTGGCAAGCCTATGTCTTTGTTTTATACCATAACTGATATGAATAATCAGGTAGTCAAATAAAGTAACCTCTGCTGTCGTATCTTTCAAGGAATCATATAAGATTTCAACATATGCATGGAAGACACTTTATTGAAGAAAGTCTTTGAGATAATATTCTATCAAATTAAAATGCTTCTTAATAGTAAAACGAAAACAAAAACATAAGCACAGTGGGATTCTGTACTTCTGAACCTTTCAATCAACTGTTTGATGATAAAAATGTGGTCTGCTACTGAATATTACCTGAGAAAAACTGTCAGTCTGATAATGAAACATACTTTCTTCCTCATGGCAGAGATGTAGGTAACTACTATGGCAATTCACTATAACTACTATGGCTAATTTACTATACAATGTAAAATATATACGACATTTTGCTTAATTTCACATCAGAAGGTTCAATCTGGGGGAGAATATATAGAATAATCATGATGTAAAGACAAAAGGCATCAATAAACAGTATTACCTTAACTAAAGATGCCCTTGATATGTGAGTAGCTTCTTCTCATAAAGGTCTTGTATAAATGGGAAAATAGGCATATGGATTAGTAGTTACTAATATTTTCTTAATTACCTTTTTAAGAAAGTATAACGGTGAGTTTTTTTAAAAAAAAAAAAGATGCCCTTTCCCCTTTCATATATCTTGAGAATCAGTCTCTCAACATCCTCAAAATGTTGCTGCCTCCACGATGGACCTTCTCTGTGTATACCATCAAGTATAGTACAGCAACTCTTTCTGCTTTTGTTTTCCTTAGTGCCATATGCAGTAAGGAAGACTCTCATGCAACACACTGGGGATTGTGATGTCAGAATTCAAATGTGGTAGCTACACTGCCATTAATGGAGAAAACAGGATGTTACAGAAATCTTGACAGATTTTTTCCATTTTTTTTCCTATGTAGTACTCCTTCCAATGCTCTTGGGATGATATGGCTTAATTGGGTCTCTAATCAAATTATACTAACAACAGTACTAATACCACTAAATGAATGTAATGAAGGTAATGAAGCTCTTGGCCACAACAACTCATGAAGCCATTTACTAAGGTGTGGTGAGCTTGTGCTATAAGTTGGCAGAAATAATAATCCACATTGATGAAATCACATCTTTTGAAGTAATATTACTTTGCATTTATATAGAACCTCATACTCTCCAACCATTTTGACATCTCTTTTAATCCTCAGGACAACAAAATGGAAGAGGGTAACCAGGGTAACTATTATTACCGCTATTTCACAGCCAACACATTGAAACTCACGAAGGTTAAATGTCTTCCCCAAATTCACACAGCGAGTGAACGACAAAGCCAAGTTGAAAACTTAGGCCTTCTAATTCCTAGTCCACTACCATATCACAGTGCCCCATGGGGTCCACGATATCTAGAGCGGCACTTCTAAAACTGTGGTTTGCGACCCAAAAATTTAGCAACAGTAAAATATTTCTAAACATGCAAAGCCCAAAAATTAGTTAAAAATCAAACACTCAACGAATCCAAGGTGTTTCTGGCAATGCTTGCCTGTGTTGCACTGTGCAACTTCACTGTAGCCTCGGTTCTGAACACGACATGCCCATGCAGCCAAAATGCATAAAGGGGTAGTAAGAGGAAAAAGTTTAAGAAGCCCTGATCTAGAGAATATTATTTTCTAAACCCTTATCAGCATTACTAAAAGGAAAAGAAACTAGTCTAGGCCATATATATTCAACTCTCATAACAGGCAACCAGAGGAAATCTGGCAATGAAGATAGGAGAAGAGAGGCTCAACTATTAGCTCAATCATCTCTTCATTAGCAAGATGCTGATTATCCAGGCACCCGAAAGCTCCATCTCTTCCTGTTGCCTGCCCTGTGACCATTTCCTTGTGCAACATCTCAAGCAATAGTTATGTAGCATAGGTAGATAATACTGTCTGAAGCAGAAAGTTGAAACCAACAGCTAATGTTGGGTTTGATTTGACACTTTGTGCTCTGCATCTATAGTGACAGTAAACTCTGAGAATACTTAGTGGCTACTGTAACTTTCAGTTTTTTTTCTTACCAGAGTAAATTTAAAATACTGTAGATGCTATATACTAGTTACACTAAAAGTTTCACAAGGCTGGGAAGGGGGGGAGGGGAGAGATACATAACCAAGGAACAAGAAGAGGTTTGGGATTACTAAGGTTAGATCAAGTTCTGTGAAATGCTAACTCTCCATTTTGTTTAGTTTCTACATACCACCTCTGCAACAAGTTCAGATTTCTTTTAAAAAGGTAGCAGAAATAACGCTCCTTTAATAAGCCAATTTGATTCTAAAGGATTCTATCATTTCAGCCCCAAATCATGGTTCTTACAATGTTCGGTCAAGGATCTTCATTCTTGCTCTGGCTAGCTATACTAGGTTTGGCTGAGGTCACTAAATGCTCCAAAGTTTTTGTCAAGGTCTGGCAACTCACTTAGGCAAAATTAGCCCTATGTTACTGAAATATATTCTGTCCTACTAAGTGTCTGAGGCAAGATTTAGAACTCAGGTCTTCCTGACTCCTAAGTCCAATGTACCCTCTACTAGAGACTGATCCATAGGTCAGAATATGACCTGAAGTATAAGACCGTTCACTTCCAGTGAGTAACAGTAACAGCCTCAAACACAGGGCCTCTGCAGGTCTTCTCTCACCTCTGACTTCCAAATTTCATATTGCTTCTTTAACTAGGCAAGATAGGTATGGGGTACAGATGATTCATCCTGCCTGGAATCTGAGATATATTTTAAATATTCTACTCTCTTCAAGAAAATGAACCATATTGTCTACTTTCAGGCCTTTCACTACATAAAGGATCACATGTAAACACTTTAAATGGACATATAAGGCTCCCACAAAGTCTAGCTCCAAACTCTCTTTCCAGGCTCCTGTGCTCCTGCAAAAGTGGATTAGTCATCTCATCCTGCTGGCTTCTACCACTATACATTTGGATACCGCACTTCCCATAAATGAGAAGGGCTTTCCAAATGCTTTTCAAAATTTTGCTCTATTTAAAAGTCCAACTTAGGGTGCCATCTCCTCTAAAAAACCTTCAGAGTTTCTCCACAAGCTAGATATGTTTTCTGTCTTCTTCAGTGTCTCACGCCATTCTGTTCTACCTTTCCTATGCATGTGATGATATTCTGACTTGTGTTACAATAACTTTTTTTATGTTGCATCTGGGCCCCAACAAATCTTTGCTGGATTGGATAGTTCCAGAGGGTAAGGAGTGTCTTTTTTCCATCTCTGTACTCCCAAAGCCTAGCATAGTGTCTTGTATATTATAGGCATTTAATATCTTTGTTAGACTAAATTTAAGATTAAATGCTTAATTTAATGAGGTAATTTATATTCTGAGATATGAAAATATGAGGTAAGAGGAAAGCTGTAATTATATGCCATAGTCATCTCCTCTCCCATTGTATCTCTCAAACTCACTGGGTACAGGATGACTAACATTTCACACAATAAAAGAAAAGCCTAAAATAAAGATGGCAACCTTATGGATCTCCTAGAGATCAATGTCCCTTTCTGTTTAATACAAATCTTTGTTGGTTATCAGAAAAAAAAATATTGAAAAACTTTTAACCAAATCTTAAGTGTTCTAGGGTCTCTGATTCTAAGTGGTTTGGCTACACTGAGTTCCACCAGAGACTTGCTGCCTACACACAGCCTCCTTAACTCTGCAACAATTAATGAGCCACCAACTGTACTAATCTACTCATCAGTAAGTTTTTGTTCATTAGAATTTAAGGTCTGTCTTTCTTTGATGACAAATATCTTAGTCTATCACTTAAAGAAAAACAAAAAGTATAATAAGGAGACGAGACTTTTAGCAAGGGGAAAACATTGGCAAGGAAGTAAAATTTAACAAGAGTCTGAAAAGAAATGGTCTGAAATTTTGGATTACAGTGAAAGATTAGTTTACTAACATGTTTCAGATTTAGCTAAAAACTATAACTCAAATGGAACAAGTTAAGCCACTTTTGTTAAACACAGCACAGCTTTTCCAGTGCTACTTTTCCAGCATAATGTATAACTACAACCTACTCTCAGTATCTTAAAAGTTTTTTGGTCATTTTTCCCACTAGAAAAGCATTTTAACGCTTCTGTGGCAGAAAAAAAAATAAGCTAACGTTATATAGAAGAAAAGACAAAAGGAGAGCTTTTTTTTTAAAGATTTAAAATTAAAAGACCCCACAGATCATAAAAATGAACATGTTACATACTAACAAATAGACCCACATAGCCTCCCATAGGGTTTCACACAGGATGAAGTTTGGTGTAAAATCAACATTTAAAACGAGGAAAAAACCTTTAGCATTTTGTTCTGGATAAATATCTTAGTAACCAAAGAGGTAACAGCTCAGATCTTTGGATTAAGAAATATTCAAGGCTCAGATTCTTATAATCTAGCCACTGCTCAGATTCCTTAAGAGTCTGCCCACTATGACGAATGTTCTAATAAACCTTGTCTTTGGCTTGGAAAAAAAAAAAGAAATATTCAAGTCTGGAAGAGAATTACTACTGTACTAAATGACTGTTAGTATAGGGCAATAAATGTTTGTTGAACTACAATGAAACCTTTTCTCAAAGAAAAACTTTCAACCAACATCTTTTGCCCAACCTATACTGTCTGGCAAAAGGCACAAAATTTTCCATTATTTTGAGGTTAAGCTACTAATTCTCTCTAAGAAGTTGTTCTTACTCTCTCTTCAAGCATCACAATTATCAAGACAGCTCTGTATAAATTTGTGCACATTAAATGTTATTTACTCAGAATGAACTAGAGTAGGGAATGGCAGAGCTCTGTGGCATAGGGTACATAATAGATCTTTAGTATCTTGCAGATTTTTCATATAATAAAACAAATTTCCCACTGTAGGTTCTTTTTTAATATGAGTGATTTGTGCTAGGCCTTACTTTTTATAATTTCTAGAAAAATCTCTGTATCGCCTCAAAACTATTTTAATAGTAAACAGGCTGAGGGCAACAGTGTCAATGCCTTAAGGAACCAAAGGGCAGATATGTAACCAAATTTTAGGATGCCAAATAACACTTTCCTTTTCCTCTCTGGAGTGGGATGAGATCTTAATCACCATATGGAAGAAATGCAAAGCTTTAATAAATATTTAAGAATCTATGAATTTTAAATCATAGATCATATTTTCAAAATCACACACCAAAAGTCTTCTTTCCAGGGTGAAACCTGAATCCACACAAATAAGGCTAAGTACACGTAAAGACAGATAATGGCTAAACAGTAAAAAAAAAAGTAAAAAAAAAGTAAAAAAATGAAACACGCAAACTTCCACAAAGAATCATTTCCATGCAATGGCAATAGCACTACGGCCTACAAAAAAAAAAAAAAATCACTTACTTTTCTCCGAGCGTCACCCGGAGGCTGCTCTGGAGTAGAGAAATTCATTGTTGGCTTTTTTGTTTTTTGTTTTGTTTTTTTTTTTTTTTAGCAAGAGTAATTACTGAACTTAAGATTACATTTATTAATAGAAACTACTTAAATGTCATTACAACAAAACGCTACATGTACATATACACACAGAGAAAACAGAAATGCTATAGATAGGGTTTATCTGTGAATCTATTGCTTTTGAAAACTTGGACCACCTACTTTGTGTTTTCTCATCTGCTGCAGTCTTATTTATCACTGGCACAAAACAGCTCTTTTCAGTGGCTGGCCCATGGTGAACAAGCACGTGGTGAGCAACAATTCATTTTCATGAAGTTTAATCAATCCCTGTTAATCCCAGGAACCAATTCCTTGGGTTAGTAAGTATGCTTCAACTACTGGGCTCTAAAGTGAGAGACCATTAAGAAAGAATTCCATGGCTATACTGTTCCTTTCTCTGCAAGAGTAGCAAAATAATTTTGCTTTGTATTCACCTCCATTTTCCAGATAACCAACTTGCTTATCAGTTGGGGATAATAATACTATTATTAGGAATCTTTTTTTTTTTCAGATCTGTGATTTCATTAGTGTGTAGAACTCCTAGAGTGGAGTCTCCCTCCACTGATGGAAATCAGCAACTTGTCAATTACTCTAGTTTTAGAGAGGTTCCTAGTATACTGAGAAATTAAGTGATTTCCTATGGTCACACAGCTAGCATTTGCCAGAGGCAAGACCTGAATCCAGATCTTTTTTGACTCTAAGGCTAGTTCTCTGTCCACAACATTCTTGTTAATGGCAGAATGGCAATATTAATATTATTATAATTCTAGCTAAGACCTATACCCAAGGTCAAGTTTATGAACATAAACAAATCAGGTGCTTTTCTTCATTCAGCAGCCACAGAGTAAAACCAACAGACTAAATAGAGTAGATTTGTTGCTTTAACATCAACATTGCTCTAACATCCTTCCTGATTCCCCAAGATGCTATGTAAATCAAGTTCATTTCTGCTCCTCAGATTTTCCTATTCTATAAAACTGATAAAAATGTTTATAAAGCAATGTTTGTCAGCCTTAGTACCTTAATAAGCTATTTTATGTAACAGTAACAATTTCCAAGCTTGCCTCCTATTAGAAGTATTCTAATGTACTACTTAAACAGTAAAGCCTCTGACATCTGACTGCATGACACAGTAAAAGTGTGGTTTTAATCTCTCATAAAAGGTGGAGTGGAGTTAAGAACAAAAGGCAGATCCTTCATGCCTGTCTGTAGTTTCTTTTTTTTCTTGCAGGAATGACAGATGACGCTCAAAGGTGATGCATCATCAACTTCTCTAAAGTTAGAAAGCAGGTTAACAGATTGTGAAAGAAATTTGGTTCAGAATCTACTAAAGCAATTTCCAGATTGGAAGAATTCCAAATGATATATTAGTGAAATCCCTAAGCTCTAACTAAAAACCAAAGCCCTACAAATTACTTAAGCCAGAGTTTATACTCTCTGTATATAGGCTGATCTGAATCTCCATGAATGAATTTTTATGGAGTTTGGCATATTTTTAATAGATTTGTTAGAAGCTACACTTCCAAAACAATTTCCTTCAGGAATCTCCAAGAACATGACATTATCATAGTGCCAATATTGTAATTTATTTTAGCTTTATTACTGATTCCACTGAAATATCAAGGTATACATGGGAACAGAGAGTGAGGATTAGAACCTAGGAATGCCTTATTAATTACAGCCACTCTAGTTTTCATTTTTTACCGAAAACAGAACCTAATCTACATTAAGGGTTCTCAGTTTTTTTGGTGTCATGGACCACTTTGACAGTCTGATAAAACCTATGGAACCCTTCTCAGAATAGTATTTTTATACAATTAAAAGAAATGCTAAATTTCTGTTAGAGAATTAAGAAAATAAAGATGCAATTTTTTTTCTCTATCCAAGTTCATGGAGACTCTGAAATCTATCCATAGATCTCTTGGGATCCTGCAGGCCCCAGGCAAAGAACCTTTGTTCTAGATAATGGTTTGTGTAAATTATCATATTTCATTCACAATACTATTGCAATAAAAGTACTAGTAATAATAAGGTTTGAGTTTTCAACCACTTAAGGACATCTTAATTAATCAAGCAATTAAATGAGTCTGGTAACCTGGTCCTCTAAATTTATAATCTGGAGGAACTGGGTTGCTTCTTGGTGCTAAAAGACACCAGAATGAGGCACTAAGGAGCTAGAAAAGGTACAAAATCTTCTGGGAAATGAATCGACTACAGAAATAAAAGTATGTAAAACAACTTTTCCCCCCAATCAAAGATTAATTTGTAAAAGAGACTCAGGAAATACAGACAGCTCTCGTTTTATGTAAGTGGACTGCTTGGCAGACCTCTACGTAAAGTGATATTTACATAATGTATATTTGCCCTCAATCAGGAAGGGAGGAAGGGAGACAGGAAAGAGGCTGTCTGTCTATGGAGGGAGGGGACTTCCACATGGTTCAAGGACATATGGGGGTCAGGGACAGAGAAGCAAGAGCAGGATGAGGAACATGTGGGGCCTGGGACCAGCCAGCTGGGGCCTGGCTGGAACCAGAGGAAGAACATGTGTGAAGTGGGAAGGGAGGAGATTCTTGGGGGCCAGACATGGATACAAACAGCAGAGTCAGGGGCAAGGGACAGACACACGGTACCTAGTGGGCGGGTGGGTGGACTGGGACAAAGGTCTCCTATCTCAGGAGGTTTCAAGCCAAGTCCCCAATCCTGAAGCACTGGAAGCAGTCTCTCTGTGCTTCCATCCTTTTGCTTTCACTTGGAGGGTTTAAAGAAAAATTTTTTTTAAGGTTTTTTTTTTTTGGAGGGGAGGTAGAGGCAGCCAAGGAGCAAGAGTGTAGAGAAAGAGAGAGAACAGTATTGTACAGTAAAGTTAACACAGGTGTTTTTTTAGGAATGTGGATATCTTTTAGAATTCTTTATGTAAAGTTGAATTTATGTAATGTGAATTTATGTAAAACGAGAACTTCTGTATAGCTGTCAAAGGGACCATCTAAGCTGGTCAATCCTCACCAAACCCTAAACCCTCTCTGGTTAGGGACCAGACAGGGGTCCCTAACTTTGCCCCCCTAAAATCAACATCTAAAGGAGATTTTACAATTGCAGTTTATTTGACAATTCTGCTGAGACAATTTTTGGTAGTCTTAGCAGTTTCTACTATAAACCTAAAGATTAAAACCAGAAGGATGTGGGGATGGGGAGCATTAACTGGGTTGGTTAGTGAGTTTGGGAGTTTCAAATGACTTATCTTTTTCTGGTAACAGTATTTTCAAGGAATAGGTAATTAAACATTTCATTTTTGTTTCCTTGATAATATTTCAGCTACACAAATACCATTAGAATCACATGCTTTAATTTTTAAAGCATAATCAAGTGGGCCCAGAATATATTTAAGTTTTTTCATGTCTGTAAACATCATCAATTTGAAAATCGAAGGCTCGTGAGAAAAACCAAATAAATTACTAAATCATTAACTGTTTTTCCACATGAAATTGTCAATTTCTGCAAATTTATTCAAGGCAGAAGTAATGAGAATTCCCATTAAAGAATGATCAAAGGCTATATAACACTTACCTCCAAATAGTTCCAAATCTCTTAAGCCCTCAACAATGAACTTTTCCGAGACCCACCGCTAAAGAAGAAAATTTCAAAAAGAATTAATATTTCTTTAAACAACAATCCACAGTACAGCCATCAGAAAGACAAATGAAATGACAAAACCAGAAATGACTCAGTTCAGGTAGGACTCATTTCTTTTTAAAAGTTCTCAACAGGCTCTTTAGCTCCCTGGTTCACTAAGAAAACAGCTTGCTCAATTACTTTCATTTCATCTTTAGAGTGGGCCAATTTAATGAAGAGTTCTAAACAGAAACATATGGTACTAGTCTATAGTATCAATTAACATTTTTAGTCTTTTCTAAATCCAAAACTAATCCTCGGGCTCCCTATTATCCATTCCATTACAGATGCTCAGTGCTTTCAGTGCCAACTCAAAGAGTTATTTTGCAATATGGATGAGATGTTGTTTTTTTCATAAGCCTATAGCAATACTGTAACATGAAACAAGTCAAGTGACACAATCTTAACTCTGCTAGGGTTCTAAAGACATTGTAAGCAGATATTTCATACTCAGTTCCAGTATATGCAGTAAACTTGATGTGCAGTAGTAGTGTACTTCACCAGCCTACTTAAAAATGGAACCGAATTCCCAGCCTACTCATCATCACTTGTTTAATTTTACTTGAATTAGATTGGGTTGAAATAGGAAAAGCACTCATATTTAAATGGAATGGAATCAAGATTAAATGTTGCTCATGAACTAATTTCAAAAGTTTGGCTAATGGAAACCCTTTCCACCGAGCTCTGTATTGAGAAGAAAGAGAAACTCAGATTTATCTTAACATTTTCAGAAAAATAAAGAAAAAATAAGAATATGTAAGATTCAGAAATAAATGACATATAGAGTATAATATATATTATTGGCCAGAAGATATATAGATTAACATTTTGTATATCACTGTACCTAAAAATTTATCTTAAAAATAATATTAAGGAATGAGAACAGGCAATGAGGAAACAAAACTATTGATCTTCGCAGATGACATGATGTTATACTTAGAAAATCCTAGAGAATCAACTAAAAAACTACTTGAAATTATTAAAATTAGCAAAATTGCAGAATACAAAATAAACCCACATAAATCATCAACATTTCTATATATTACCAACAAAGTCCAGCAGCAAGAGATAGAAAGAGAAATTCCATTTAAAATAACTGTACACAATATAAAATACTCCCAAGTCTACCTGCCAAGACAAACCCAGGAACTACATGAACACAACTATAAAATACCTTTCACACAAATAAAGTCAGATCTAAACAAATGGAAAAATATTAATTGCTCATGGGTAGGCTGAGCCAATATAATAAAAATAACAATTCTACCTAAATTAATCTATTTATTCAGTGCCATACCAATCAAACTATCAAATAATTATTTTGTGGAGCTAGAAAAAATAACAAAATTCATCTGGAAGAACAAAAGCTCAAGGATATGAAGGGAATCAATGATAAAAATGCAAAAGAAGGTGGTCTAGCTGTACCAGATCTCAAACTGTATTACAAAGGTGTATTTATCAAAACCATCTGGTACTGGCTAAGAGATAGAGTGGTAGATCAGTGGAACAGATTAGGTACAAATTACATTATAGTAAATGACCATAGTAATCTAGTATATGACAAACCCAAAGATCCAAGCTTTTGAAATAAAAACTCATTATTTGACAAAAGCTGCTGGGAAAAATGGAAAACAGTATGGCAGAAGCTAGGTTATAGATCAACATTTCACACTGCATACCAACAGAAGGTCAGAATGAGTACACGACTAACACATAAAAGGTGATACCATAAGCAAATTAAGAGAGCATGGAATAGTTTATCTGTCAGATTTATGGAGAAGGGAAGAATTTAGGACCAAAGAAAATATAGAGATCATTACAAAATTAAAATAGATAATTTTGAATATATAAAATTAAAAAGGTTTTGTACAAACAAAACTAATGCAACCAAAATTATAAGGAAAGCAGGAAACTGGAGAAAAAAATTTTGCGACCAATGCTCTGATAAAGGTCTCATTTCTAAAATATACAGAGAACTGAATCAAATTTATAAGAATACAAGTCATTCCCCAATTGATAAATAATGGTCAAAGGATATGAACAGGCAGTTTTCAGATGAAGAAATTAAGGCTATCTACAGTAATATGAAAAATTCTCTAAATCACTACTGATTAGAGAAATGAAATTTAAAAAACAACTCTGAGGTACCAAGTCACACCTATCAGACTGGCTAATATGACAAAAAAGGAAAATGTTGGATGTTGGAGGGGATGTGGGAAAACTGGGACATTAATGAACTGTTGGTAGAGTTGTGAAGTGATAGAACCATTCTGGAGAACAATTTGGAACTATGCCCAAAAAGCTACAAAACTGAGCATACCCTTTGATCCTGCAATACCACTGCTAAGTCTATATCCCAAAGATATGCAAAAAAAAGGGAAAAGGACCTATTTGTACGAAAATATTTATAGTAGCTCTTTTTGTGTTGGCTAAGAATTGGAAATCGAAGGGATGCCCATCAATTGGGGAATGGCTAAACAAGCTGTGCTATATGATTGTAATGGAATATTGTTGTGCTATAAGAAATGACAAGCAGGATGATTTCAGAAAAACCTGGAAAGACTTACATGAACTGATGCATAGTGAAATGAACAGAACCAGGAGAACGTTGTACACAGTAACAGCAATATTGTTCAATGAAGAACTGTGAATGACTTAGCTATTCTTAGCAATACAATAATCTAAGATAATCCCAAAGGACTAATGATGAAGCAATACTATTCGCCTCCAGAGAAAATACTGATATTGTTTGACTACAGATTGAAGTGTGCTATTTTTCACTTTCTTTCTTTCATTTTTTCTTTTGAGTCTTCTTGTACAAAATGATTAATATGGAAATGTTTCACATGATTGCGCATGTATAACCTATATCTGATTGTTTACTGTCTCAGGGAGGGGGGAAAAGAGGGAGGGAGAGAATTTAAAGCTCAAAACTTTAAATAAAAATGTTAAAAAATTTAAAAAAAGGAGTAATAAAATATTTCATCCATAAAAAAGTATATTCATTACATCTTGAAATATTATTTATTTTTTAATTTTTGGAGAACAGGGTTTATTTATAATTTCTTCTTTTTTTTTTTTTTGCTAGGCAATGGGGTTAAGTGACTTGCCCAGGGTCACACAGCTAGTTAAGTATCAAGTGTCTGAGATTTGAACTCAGGTCCTCCTGACTCCAGGGCCGGTGCTCTATCCACTGTGCCACCTGGCTGCCCCTTATAATTTCTTATAATGATTGTATAGTTACAGAATTATAAAAATAAAAGCTCTATAATATGCAACCTCCCTCTATCACTTGGCAATTAGGTAATTCTCAGTCTGTAAAATGGGTGATAATTTTACAAAATTGCAATGTTTTCTCAAGAAGTCATGGTAAACATCTGTTCTGATGGTTAAAACCTAGTAAGTTTCAAAACTTGAAGACATTTTCAACTTGTGTTTTGACATAGGTGTTCTTAAATTTAATACAATGATCTAGAAAAAAGTTCTGGTAATTTAGTTCTGTTCTGATTTTTAAAAACATAGAAATTTAGTGGGGGAAAAATCATGAAGGAGATGAGGATGAGCAAACATACACACAGTAAAAGGACAAAAATTCATTTCACTGAATATATCTGACATCAGTGAGATAGATTTGCTTTGCCTAAGATGGGTCCATAAGCTATTTTCTCATGAAGTGAACACTTTACCTATTAGACCTGCCACTCTTCACTTAAAGGTTCTAAAAACATAATTCTAAGCATTATATGCATAATTAGCCACAATTTCACATATTTTGTTTTCCTTAAAACAAAAATACTGCTTTTCAGAAAAAGAAAGTATGTTGAGTAAAGTTAGAAGGCTAGAAACACTCACCCTAATTCGCTCTGGTTTACTTACAAGAAAAGACATGGAATCCTAATGTGTAGGCAGGCCTACTTCAATTTCAAGAATATTTTTTAAAAACAAATAAACCTAAAAACAAAAAAGGAAACAAGTTTCATTAGTTAAATGTCTTTTCAAAAAAATACCTGTTAACAAACATTTGTCAAGCATTTGTTCTTTGGATCACTGTACTAGACCATGGGAGAGATATAAATTGCTAGAATCTAAAATTATCGTTGCTAACATCCATGCAGAGAAACTGTTGGTGACAGTAAAACAAGATGTATTGTGGTCAAGAGAATGACTCTGTGTGAAGTACTGGAAAAGCTGTATGGAAAGAGAAGTTTGCAACTATATAATTTCTTCAAGTGCACGAGAATCTCTAACACATTACTCAGACAACTAAAAATATCCCCAGTTGTATCAACCAACCAACCATTCAATCAACAAGCATGTATTAAAATTATGTGCTGGCCACTGGGAATAGAGAGAGAGAGAGAAATAAAACAATTTCTAGATCACTGTTTCTTGAATTAAGGGTAGTGATAAATGCAGTATATGCAAACAACTTGTTAGTATAATTTTTCTTGTTTCTGGGTGAGTCTCATTCCTCCATTACCATTTTACTTCTTGCTCACCTCTATTTTTTTCCTTTCCACCTAGCTTTTGCTTTGAATAAGCTACACAGCCCATATATGAACCGATTTCAAAAGTGGCTAAATTAAATTTTATTAAAAAAAAAAAAACAAAAAACCACACAACTTTTACCATTATTATCCCAGTGGAAGAATGTAGAAATAAGCTCTAACATGATACCCCCCTCCTCCCTTTTTAGCTAGGGCAGATATTTTCCCCTGAGCAAAAACTCATAGGAACTGTCTGTACTTTGTGAAGGAATGGGCATTCCATAAAAAGCCCAAGATAAAGTCTCTGGGAAAAAAAAAAGGTAGGGAAGAGGAAAGGCAGGATGACCTGGGACATGTACACCACCATATAAGTTATTAATCAAAGAAAATAAATAATCTATTTAGATTCTACAACATAAAGAAAAGGCATTTTTGATGCAAAGGCAGGTGTTTTATCTAAGTACAAATAGAAAGTGGAATGAGAAGAGTTTCACTTCTATACTCTGGAAAAATACTGTAACAATTTGTCAAAAAAAAAAAAAGGAAAAATTAATCTGAAAACACTGCACTTGGAAATAATCATTATAGTTTTGCAAAGAACAACCCCTGCCAGAACAACCACATACATAAATACATATAACGACAGGCAAGGGTTCAGGAGAGAAAAGTAAAGAACTTCAGTTAGCTTTCTAATTCTATGCTGATTCTTCACATGACAAATCTATGAACAAACTATTAAGAACTTTTTTTTTAATTTAAAACACAAAGATGCCACTCAGAAGAAAACTGCAATAAATCCTTCCATGTTTACCCCGCTCTTTGTTGGCAGGAGGAGTAGGATGCAATTTGTAATTGCTATGTATATAAATGGATGAAAAGTAGTATTTAAAGAATGTTACCATCAACCTAGAGAGATACAAAAAGGCGTACTTTAAAATGGGCCCTATATCACCAATACCATTCTGACCAGGGTGACAGAACAGAGAATATGCTCACTTGAAATGTCAGCCAATTGAAGGGTGAGATTACAAGAACCAGGGAGAGAAGACCCTACACACACACACTACTCCTTCTGACACAGTCAGCACTTTTTAGATATGCATTATAGTATTGTGTCCAATTTGTAGTTAAACAATGCAGAAGACATGAAGAACTTTAAAATTATTTCAGAGAAGGGTTAAAGATATTAACCTGTAAAAGAAAAGGAACTTTATGAGGAAAGGTTAAAAGAACTGTAACTGTTTCATATGAAGAAAAAGTATAAGAAGATTTCATTAAGAATTTCTTGTTCCATTAACAATAACTAAAGATAACAAAGTAGGTGGCCATTGATTAGGGAATGCCTAAACAAACAGAAGTATGTGAATGTAATGGAATATTAATGTACTGTAAGAAATTATGAATATGAATACATGGAAGATTTATATTGACTGATGCAAAATGAAGCAGAACCAGGAAAAAATACACTTTGAAAAAAATAAAGGACTACAACACTGTAAGTGGGAAGAACAATAACAAAAATTTTAATTGAATGTTACAGAATTATTGACCTGAAGAGAAGTGAATGAGAATGCACCTCTCTCTTTTTGCAGAGGTAAGGAACAATGGTGATGATACACAACACATACTACTGGATTTTGCTAATCTGCTTTTTTTTCTCCTTTCTCTTTTATTCTTTGTTACAAGGGATGGTTCTCTGGGTGGAAAGTAGAAACGGATGTACTGAGGAATTAAAATGATGCAAAAAACCCAAAGGATGTCAATTTTAAAAAAAAGATATTCGAGAATATATATGAAGAAAAATCTAAAGCCACTGGAATTCAAATCAGATTTAATAAATTTTTTTTAACTGAGAAAAAGTAGACTCCTTTATTCCATTCAGTTTTCTTCAGAAAACTGTCACATCTAACTTTTCTAAGATTCTATTCATCTCCTTGACTTCTTTCTTATTTATTTTATGGACAGATTTATTTAGCTCTGAGAGGAGAAAGTTGAGGTCTCCCACTAGTACAGTTTTACTATCTATTTCCTCCTATAATTTAATATTTTAAGGAAATAATTCTTAACTTCCAGTGAAGTTTGTTAAATGCTGGATTATTTTCCCCCCAAAAGGCTATGAATTGGCATCTGCACAGATTTACTTTTAAGGGGGAAAAAAGATGATATTCACCTACCTGAGATGGTTTAAAGTAGTTCTCCCTAAAGACTGGTAATTCTGGCACTAGATAACCTCTAAAATTTCTCACAGGTACAGATAGACTCTCTTTCAATCAAATTTCACGGTACATCAAACTATCTACATTGTCAAAACTCCTCAATTTGGAAGCTACAATGAGGGTGTTTAATATACACTGTGGTTTGCTGGGCTGTTATAGAAAACAAATGCCTGATCTACTGAGTGTTTACAAATTACAGTACACTTTTCAGGGAAGCTATTGTGTAAAAGGTATTGTCTGGCAATTTAAAAGAAATAAGTTCCTTGTTATAAGATATGCATTGACTTTGTTTATTCTAAATGGGGAGTGTTGGGATATGAGGTACTAATGATAAATTTCCTTTTCTTATTTTTGAGTGTACATCTTTACAATATTAGATTTCTGACTTAAAGTTTTATAGAATCCCATGGTAGCCATGTACAATTTAGGCCTGGGAGCTAGGTTACAGGGTCAAAATAACCATAGCAGGGATTCTTAACCTGGATCCGTGGACGGAGGATAGATTTCAGGAGAACCACGAACTCAGATGTGGGAAAAAAAAAAATCACATCTTTATTTTTAGTAACCTTTGCATTTTATTTTATGTATATAAAAATATCATTCTGAGAAAGGGCTTGTAGGTTTCACCAGACTGTCAAAAGGGTCCATGACACAAAAAAAGGTTAAGAACTCTAGAACTACAGTAAGCCTAGATGATTAAGTTGCTCAGCAACTGACAGCAAGGCTGTCACAGTGTCTGAATACAGATTTTCAAGTTGCCAATCCAGGTTTCTGGTAAGTAAGATTTTTCTTCCCTACAATTTCTTTAGTTTGTGCTATCTCAAAACCCATTCTCTAAGAATTTTCCTTGTTCTCCCATTGGCTCCTCCATTTTGTATCTCTGATAAATCCCTAAATTCTCACATCCTCTTCCTACACAACTTAATCATCCTGCATATTCCTCTGCTCTACTGCTTTACAACTAATACTTTATTAAGGAAACAAGATTAAACTTTAGCTTTCCAGTATGTCACAGGGACATTCACGACTAGCCAATTAAGAGGCCGGGATGATGGAAGGAGGCAGGCATGGTGGGAGAAGAAAAGAGTGCATTAGCCCCTGTTCAGTCTCTGCAGCTTCCTGAGTTCAATCTCTGGTGTTCCAAGAGTCTCAGGGTTGGGAAGTACCTGGACAACTCTCAGTCCACGAGGCTCAACCAGCTTTACCTTGGCTAGAAGGCACCTTTTCTCAGGCTCATGTTTTGGGCTTCAAACCGCAAGCACACTGCTAAGTATATGATTAATTTTGTAAAATATAATTCAGAAAGCAATTCACTGCACTTTACAATTCATAATAATGTCATAGGAGTCCATCTCAAACTATCAGAGTCAGCAGCCTGTGCACGTAGACACTCTCAATTCCAGAAGTATTCCACAAAATAATAAATCAAAAACATGTCAAAATTAACTGAGAAAATTTAACACAATATTCAAACATAACTGCTACACAAAAATGCTCAACCAAAAAGAAAACATGCACATTAGAGGGAATGTTATGGAACTGTGAAAAGATCCATCCACACAGAATTTTTAATGTAATGAAATTGCCTGCATACATACTAACAAAGCACTGCTGTCTGAGGCATGGAAACCTACACTTTCCAGAAGTTTGTCTCTTAAATATCTTAACTTTTAAATTCAATAGCCTTTTTTCAAGCTTGATCCATTGGAAGTTTCTGAAACTGTTTTCCACCCCCTTCCTCCTAGATACTCATCTTTTTTGGCTTCTGTGATAATGCTCTCTCCTGCTGGTACTACTGATGTGTAACTGCTCCTCTACCAGATCTTTATCAGCCTCCCACTCCAAATATGGGTGTCCCTCACAGGCACTTTTTTGGACCCTCTTCACTCCAGCTCTATACTCTTGCCCTTGGTAATATCTTCATCCCTCATGGGATCAATCATCATCTTTACTTATATGACTTCAAAAGCTACATCAAACTGTAACCTTTCCCTTGAATTCTATCCCCATGCTTAGAATGTTTTCCCTCATGACCTCCATCTCTTGAAATACCCACCTCTCTTGAAGGCACAGCTTAACTGGACTTTGCTGATTCCCAGCTGCTAGGTTTTTGTTTTCTTTTTACACACCCCAACCCCCAAAGAGGCGGGGAGAAATCACTTTATATTTATTATATGTACATCCTCTATTTATCTGTAAATGTAATGTAATGTAAATGTAAATGTTTTATCCCCTTGGTAAAATATAA